CAAAAAAAAAATTTTTTTTTAATTTAAAAAAGTTATCTTGAACTTTTCCAAATTTCTATTAAAAATCTGTTTACTTTACCTGTCCTTCTTTACATTAGGTTAAGAATTTCTCAGTTGTAAAAGAAATATTACCTTTTTCACTAGGCTTTCATAAAATATTCAGTAATATATGCAGAGAGTTAGATTTGCATACACTTATTTATAGACAGTTTTATGGTGTTGGTGACAGAATATAAGCCAGAGGAAAAACACTGACTCTTAAGAAATTATACTAGTTGCAGCATGGCCATCTCCCTGGGGGTTATCTCTCACTTTCCATCTCACTGTCTCTGTCTGTCTGTCTGTCTGTCTCTCTCTCTGCTGAGCACATGCCCTCTCAGGTAAAAACCTCTAGAAAAAAAAAAAATTGCACCAAAGGACCAGATTTCTCCATGTGCCTTTTCAGCTAAAAAGACTTGTAAAAACTAAACACATAACACAAGATATATGAAACAGCAGTTTTCCAATATTGGGCATCAGACAATGGAAGATATTGATTTCTGAGATCTAAAAAGCAAGAAGGCAAGCCCCATAAAACCCCTAGCTTACTATGTGTGGAATTTCCAATTGATGGCTCAGGGAAGAGGAGGAACTCAGGGTAAGATGTCCTTTGGAAACAGAAGAAAGAATGTGGAAAGGACAAGAAAATTAGTGCTTTCAAGACTTAATATCTGAAAGTGTAGAGCTACACATAGAGTGAGCTCTGGATATCCATGCAGGTTCTCCATGTAGTATTCAGGTGACTACTCACCTGTACCTGCAGGTAAGGAAACAGCCTGAGGATAAGAGAAGAACCAACTGGAGATATTAGAGGTAACAGTCCCCAGTGCCAACAATATTTCCTATTCCCCCATGACAGAGTGGAAAAAACTCGTAATTCTTGGGACATTAGATAAAGTATTAGGAATAGTTTACATTGATAGTAGGTAAAAGTAACCTTAGATTAGAAATGTTGCTCTAGGGAACCAGCAGTTAGCGTAATGGCTTTGTCGCTGGACTTCCACATAGTCGACCGTGGTTCGCACCCCGGACCCGGTAGCTTAAAACTCACGCCAAGTGCGTGTGCATGCGTGCCCAAGATCCCAAGAGGAGAATGGAGGAGAAAGGATTGCGGCGTGACCATCCCCCCTGGGGGGTGATTTCTTGCTTTCTGTCTCTATGTCTCTCTCTGTCTGTCTGGTGAGCACACGCCCCCTATAGCGAAAACCTCTCCCCCAAAAAGAGAAAAAAGAAATGTTGCTCTGTTCCTATCTATTGAAGTTTAAATCAATGAATTGTTTTCAATTAAATTAAATGGGTCCCAGAACAAACCACAAAATATTAATGACAATTAAAAATATCTAGTACCCAAGAAAATAAGATATACAACATCTGGTATCTAATTAAAACCTTATATGGGACCAGCAGTTAGCATAATAGCTATGTTGCTGAACTCCCATGTAACCAACCGCGGTTCGAGTCCCGGACCTGGTGGCTTAAATTCACACTGGGCGCATGTGCGTGCGTGCCCAAGATCGTGCCCAAGATCCCGAGAGGAGAATGGAGGAGAAGGGATTGCGGCGTG